TCATCGTGAGAAAAGCGGCAACATAGCCAGACAAAAATATTAAAAAAAAACAAGAAAGGAAGCTAACTTCAGCACGCCAAGTTTGTATACTCTTGCAAGTTAAAATTCGATCACTAGGAATTATTTCAAATGAAATATTTATATTTATGTTAAAAACAATAAAGTAATGCCTGCTTTCATTACATTCACATTATATTAAGGTATATGATAGAGTAGTCCGATTTTCATATAATTTTACACGAAATTGTAGATTAATATATGATAGCTTAATATCAAATTAATGAAGTCTGTTGAAAACTGGTAAAGTTATAATTGTTTTTTTTTTTTTTTAATTTTCCGATCGTTCCTATGGCAGCTAGGTATATATATAGTCTCCGATTCGCCATGATCCGACTTATATACTAGTAAAATTATGTAGAAGAATAACTCCATAGTTTCATTTAAATAGCTTGCTCTTGTACCAAAACAAATCTCGCACTTCTGTGCATATAATTCCCAACTTGTTCTAACATCCCCGGAACGAAGTGATTTCTGCCGGCCAGGTCTTAGAAAAGTGTTGTGTTACAAAAGTTGCAAGTCATTGTTTATTAGTGTTCAAAGTTAGTAAATGATCATACATACTTACTTACTGTCCATAGATACTTACTGATCACACATACATACTGGTCATAGATACGTACTAATCATTGTTGATTACTAATCATAGTTACTAATTGTTCAGAGTAACTGAATGTTTATAGAAACTGACTGATCATAGTTAGTTACTGGCCATAACTAATTACTGATCATAGTTCTATAAATCGTCCGATTGTTCATATGTCAGCTATATATATGTATATATATAGTCCACCGATTCGGCATGCTCCGATTTATAAACATGTAAAATTATAAAGAAGAATAGCTCCATAGTTTCACTCAAATAGGTTAAATTTGTTCCAAAACGCATCTCGCACATCTGTGCATATAATTCCCAACTTGTTCTAACATCCCCGGAACGAAGTGACTTCTGCCGGCCAGGTCTTAGAAAAGTGTTGTGTTACAAAAGTTGCAAGTCATTGTTTATTAGTGTTCAAAGTTAGTAACTGATCATACATACTTAATGGTCATTGATACTTACTGGTCAAAGATAATTAATAGTTATAGATACTTATTGTTCAGAGTTACTTACTGCACATAGTTACTTAATGTTCTTAGAAACTTACTGATCATACTTAATTACTGGTCATAGTTAATTACTGATCATAGTTCTATAAATCGTCCGATTGTTCCAATGTCAGTTATGTATATGTATATATATAGTCCACGATTTGGCATGGTCCGATTTATAACTTGTATAAGTATATAGAAATCAACTCCATAGTTTTATTCAATAGTTTGCTCTTAATTTGTTCCAAAACAAATCTTGCACATCTGTGCATATAATTCCCAACTTGTTCTATCATCCCCGGAACGAAGTGTCTTCTGCCGGCAAGTCTCAGGAATGTTGTGTTACAAAGTTGCAAGTCATTGTTATTAGTGTTCAAAGTTAGTAACTGATCATACATACTTAATGGTCATTAATACTTACTGGTCAAGATAATTAATAGTTATAGATACTTATTGTTCAGAGTTACTTACTGCTCATAGTTACTTAATGTTTATAGAGACTTACTAATCATAGTTAATTACTGATCATAGTTCTATAAATCGTCCGATTGTTCCGATGTCAGTTATATATATGTATATATGTAAATAGTCCACCGATTTGGCATGCTCCGATTTATAAACTTGTAAAAGTTTATAAAAGAACAACTGTAAAGTTTTATTCAAATGCTTGCTCTTAAATTTGTTCCAAAACAAATCTCGCACATCTGTGGATATGATTCCCAACTGGTTCTAACATCCCCGGAACGAAGTGACTTCTGCCGGCCGAGTCTTAGTAATGTGTTCTTACAAAAGCTGCAAGTCATTGTTTATTTGTGTTCAAAGTTAGTCACTAATCATACATACTTACTGCTCATAGATACTTCTGTTCAGAGTTACTAAGTGATCATAGTTACTTATCATCTTTACTTAGTTTTCATTGATATTTATTGATTATAGTTACTTTGTGCTCATAGTTATTTACTGATCATATTTTTTACTGTTTATAGTATCTTATTGTTGAAAGATACTTACTGATCTTTTCTGCCAGATATGTTATAAAGTATTCCGATTTTCATAAAACTAAAAACGAAATTCTATAATAACAAAATATAGCTTTGAATTAAATTAGATAAAATATTTTAAAAATGTAAAATTTATATTTTTTTTGTACAAATTTCCGATTGTTCCTGTGGCAGCTATATGTATATATGATAGAGTATTTAATATAAGGCTAATACAAAATTCCTTGCCATGCTTTCACCAGCTACACAACAAAAAACACCACACGAGGTGTACAAAAAGGCGGTCTGGAGTAAGCTGTGGGATTGGGGCATCTTCGCTTGGGTGGCCTCCATGGTGCTGTTGTTGCTGGCACTGCTGCTGCTGTATGTGCAACATAATAATTTGTAAACATTTATCAATTATGCAGCAACAGCAGGAGCGGCGGCAATAACAGCATCGCCACCGCGTATTCCGCTGGCCCCATGAAGCCTTTCTAGCCATGGCCAACTGGCCACATAAATTTCCACGTTAGCCGCCATCGCCACTCAGTGGGGGTTCCCCTCCATCGAAGAGTTTACACTGAAAACAAATGACTTATTAAAGTTTTGAGGGTATTTCATGCATTTATTCATATTCAAATGGTTTTATTTTATTATAATAATAATATTATAATTATAAATACTTTGACCAGCTATTCGTAACTTTATTTGTATTTTTATTTATTTTCAAGTATGTTTCGCTCAGTGCAAATGTAGAGCAGTCTATCTGAAGAGGGGAACAGTGCGCTGCGCATTCCATGGGCGTTTTTCGGCTTTGACTTTGGCGGTTTTCTGGCCTGGGCGTTGATTCGCCTGACCAAACATGCAATTAAGTGCAAGTGGGCAACACCTCATCCTCATACTCGGCTGTGGCAGCAGCAGCAGCAGCACCAGCATCATCATCATTCGAGATATTCCCGGGAAAATGCGGGGGACATTGGGCAGGTGCATACTGGGGATTCTGATGTGTGCCAGCAATTCGCCCTGCCGGAATGCCCTTATGGAGTCCGTCCATCAATCATCCAGCAGGCCCACTTGTTGACAACAACAACTGCGGCAGATCAGACATGGCAACATAACAGTGGGGGGAGTCAGGGAAAGGCAGGCTTCATCAACGTGACCGAGACCTAATCCCAGGCATCTGCCACAGCGGCAGGTGCCAAAATCCCAAAGTGCCAAGGTGCCAAAGGTGCTGCGTCCTAGAATGTCAGGATTTCCAGGTTCAAAGGAGCCAGGGAACGAAGAGCGATCACGCTGGGATACAATGGAATACCTGAGCTAATTTCTGTGAATTAGAAAAGTGTGTTAAACATAGGATAAACATAAGGGGTAATTAAAGCTTTGATTATACTTATAACTACTATTAAATATTAGAGATTTTTTATATGAGACACAAATCAAAGCAGCTTTTCCATATCAATTTTTTATAATCAGGAAACACCATTTAATAACTAAAGAAGTTTCTAAAAATGTGTTAGACCAGAGCTATTGCATTTATGTTGAGCTGATTGCATTTTAATGGCTGCACCTGCCTGGCTAAAGGCATAAACTTTTTCCGAACTGGATCAAAGAGCCACTAAAAGCCATTAGAAACGTAACGTTTTGATTTCCCGCTGCTCAAGAATTTTAATTCTTTAAGGCGAAACTAGTGCAGAGCCATAGAATTAGTTGAACAAACAATCAAAATGCAATTGGCAGACGGCGATTGCAATGAGTGCATAAAAAAGAGGCGTCGGGAAAATATTTTCACCCGCACTGGCAGCATGTTGCTTCTGACTGCAACGACAAACATGTTGCTTGGCAGCATGATGCAGCTCCAGAGAGCCCCAACATGTTGCTCTCACGTGCGCAGGCTCTCTGCTCGCGCTCTCAACATTTAGCGGCGACTTTTGTTTATGTTGCTGCGCGTCAGTCAGCTGTTTTCTGTTTACCTTCCACACGCGTGTGGAAAAAGGGGAAATGTTGCTAGTGTAAGTCGAGCCAGAGCAACATATGCTGCCGGTGGTGTTGCGCGACCCGTCGATGTTGCCAGTTGTCAGTTGTTGCCGTTATCTCGAGTTGCGTGTATCTGTGGCCAGCTGTATCTGAATCTGTGTGCGTTAGTGCGTGTTGCGTACTTGTATCTTTGTATCTTTGTGTTTCGGTGGATTGCAAAATAGCCGCGCGTGTGTTTTTTAGTTTCTCCCCCAAACAATTTCCTGAACTTGCCCCAAAAGACAGACGGACAGACAGACTACTTGGCATTTGGTAATCAATTGTTTGTCTGGCCAATTTCCTCTCCACAAAGAATACAGCTCTTGGCCTCCAATTAAAGCCAAATGATTCACAAGGCGGCGTTTTTCATTCACAAACAAAAAAACTACAGCACATAGAGTGCGGTGTGCGGTGCGTGCGTGACACAGTTTTCGGTTAGCTTATGATTTATGCTGCGCTTGTCACATTAACAACAACCGCAAAATGTTTAAAAAATCTACAAAAATCTAAGAATTCTGTGGAAATTTTTCAAACGCCAGATGCTGAGATTTGTTAAGTGTAAAATATTACAAAGAAACAGGGGAAACACGAAGAAATACCAAAGTGACCAACAATTAATTGGAAAAGTCACAATTAGTTTTGAAGACTTTCGAAAATAGTGCTTCATCAAGAATTGGTTTAAACATTGTCAAATTAACAAAAGCTGCTACGAGATACTTTTGAACTTATGCTACATTTGTGTTTAGAATGGACAAGTAGTAAACAAAAGCTAATAAGAACTAATGATTACAAACCAAGGAAAGTATCTCTGAATTATAAACACTAATTAGTAACTGTTCTTAAAACCTATGAACTCTTATAAATTCTGTGGCTATTTATCAAACAGAAGTTGTGATTTGTTAAACCTCAGCCCTACGAAAACGTGGAAAACGAAAAGAAATCGAACCAACAATTAATTAAAAGTGCAACAATTAATTAGAAAACCACCAATTAATTAGAAAACTAAAGAAAACTCGAGCGTACAAAATGCAGTTGAAGTGCTTGTTGCTTGCACTGACTCTTTTTAATTTTCTGTGGCTGTTCGGGGCCAACGCTGATGTCCATCAGAATAATGGCCAGCAGAAGGTGTTGCCGGGGAAACGCCTGTCCGATGACTTGGGAACAGAACGTGATAAAAGTTCAGCCAAGATGCGAAAGATTTTCCCGCAGGCCGTTGACGAGAAAAACGGGGAGTTGCGCCTGAGACACGAGCAACATCATCTGCGGCAGCAGCAGCATCTGATGGCGTGGGAGCAGCAGTTGCAACTGCAACTGCAACAGCATCTCCGCGAGCAGCAGCAGGAAGAGTCTCCAGAGCCAGAACCAGAGCCCGAGCCAGTGTCAGTGCCAATGGTAGTGCGTCATCATCAGCATAAATCTCTGGCAAATCCAAAGCCGGGAACCGCAAAGAAACCCATTAGACAGGCTCCGAGTCTGGCCGATGACAAGGCCAAGATTTTGGTTAAGCGCAGACTCCACTACAATGAGTACGATAACGATGATCTCGAGTTGCACACCATGGATTCGGCCGAGGAGGAGGGACGCCTCTCCCCCGGGAATGGCGGCGAATCGAAATTGCACATCGGCGGCAGAAGGAGCAACATCAATTGCAGCTGCTGGCGGAGCGACAACAGCAGCGACAACTGCTGACAACAACAACAACAACGAGGACAACGACAACAACGGAACCCAATAATGCCCAATCGGAGGATAATGATGTGAGTGCATCCAAGGGGACTCGATTTAATGGGTTAAAGCCAAAGCAAGCTGTTTGTTTAAGCGGCCAATAAATAGTATAATAGGAGGAGATATGCTTACCATAAAAGGAAATTATTTATTAGCTCAATGTAATTGAAATGTTGGTCATCAGATTGTATTGAATATTTTACTGAATAGAAGTCAGGGTAGAAGTAAAGTAAAGGGATCTCTCCACTGAAGGTATGGCTCTTTAGGTATCTAGAACTATGCACAGAGAATCAATAATTATTTAGCAAACATAGAATAAGATTGATTACCCAATTAAAATCAACAAGCATTCCATTTTAGATAATATGTAAACTCAACTGTTTGAGATCAATCAAGTACATATATTCACCACTAATTAGACAATGGAAAACCATTGGTTTATTTATCTAATCTAATATTCTATGCCATGTGCCTGCGCATGTAAAACAACTATTTCTGTATAATTTAATTGCTTCGAATGGCAATAAATCGCTTTTCTGACAGTTCACGACAGGTTGTCATTACAAAGCTTCGCCCAGAATTTTCATCAACTTTCAGTGGCTGTTCTTTATTATATACCTTTACATTTCGCAAAGAGATTTTGCACTCTTTCACTTTCTGTTTTTTATTTAAATTAAAGAACGTCCATTCAGATTTTGATTCCCATTCCTCACCCTTATTTCTCTTTTACACACTGCCCGCAGAATTTGCCACTTGGCATACAAATTAATTTGTTTTAATTGTGACTGCTCGGCACGTTCCTTTCAGATCTCTTCGAGCTGATTAGGTTGAACTTTTTGTGTTGCCTTTATTTTTTTCGTGATTATTAATTGGCCTGGGTAATTGTTCAGATTCAATGGAGATTTATGCGATCGAACGTTGTTGCAATGCAAAATGTTTACCAATTAAATGCGTATTAATGGCGAAATGCTTAATTGATTGCCCCTGTTCTCAGAATCTGAGTATCATCTTTTCCCCTCCATCTCGAAGTGTTTCCCTCGACTTTTTCTGCACTTGGCAACAGAGTTGAATCGATGAATAATCAGAAGGTGGCGAAATGATCGTCGGTATTGGAATGGATTCGGTGACTCTTGCTGGGAATTGAGGTCAAATATTTATTAAAAGAGCTTGTGTGGGTCTGAAAAATAATTTTAATTGCCATAGATGATTCTAGAAGCCCCTAGAAACGTGTATTCTTGTATTTATTAATTAATTTTAGGTGTATAAATATTTTTGAATGAAATTAAAAAGTATTTATGATTAATTTAAGACGTAAGAGACTTCTGCCATAGTTTCATCTTCTTAATAACTTAAGAAAAACTATTAGAAATCATTCAAGTTTAATGAAGATTTATTTTTAACATGAAAGTCCATATATTCCCTAATAAATTTATCCTAGTTCTGTTGCCTTATTAAAACCCTAATTTATGGTTAATATATTATCTGCATAAGCAACAACTACAGATTCATAATTTCCAATTGAGTTTAAGTAAGATTTACAATGGAAATAATTTACATAGAACATTGTACTGCGGATTAAATAAGATTTATTATGAAAATAATTGGAAAATTATTTAGGATTTATGCATTTTTCTTTTCAATTTGTAATCCATATTTTTCTGTTACATTTTCTTTGGTGTTTTCTATTTTCCCGCTGCCCTTTTATGAGCTGCTAACTCACATTTGGGGCATATAAAATGATTGCATCTCATTATGAGGGCGGGTGTGGGATTACTTTTATCTCGAATCAAATTTTCGCCCAATTATTAACAGTGGATTTCTGGATTTCCCACTCTAATGTACTTCTATTTATTGCTCGTTCCCGCTTCTGCCCCTCTGAGTCTATTTTCTCGGTTTTCCTGTGTTTTTCCCACCCACCTTCGGCGCGCAGTCAATTTTATTTGCTTTCCGAATCGATTCCCAACACTTTCACTTCTCTTTTTGCCTGTCTCTTCAAGTTACTCCCCATTTCCCTGCCGCATTTTCCCCAGCTTTTATCTTGTGCTCCCCTTTTCGTCTCGCCTTTCTACACTTTTCCTGTGAGGTTGCTGCAACTTTTGCAATCAGTCTATTAGCTCGAATTCGTTCTGCTTCAGTGGCGCACACACAGAAACTCCACCCACACTCCCCCCTTTGTGGATTTTCCACCAGCCACATACCCCAACCCCTTGGGTTTTTAAAACCACCCCCTGCCCCCTTCCTCCCTCCGCCGCGGATTTTCTAACACCCCTCATCCCGGTCATGGGGAGGCACTTCAAACATTTTGGCGGGCGTAAACAAACGCAGCTGCAGCTTCTGTGGGGGAAAATTGGAGGCACTGGCTCTTGCACATTCAATTAATTCAAAGCATTAAAACAATTAAACGTTTGTGGCTTCATTGACTTGGCACACGCCCCCATTGCCCCCTCCCCTGCCACGCCCGATTTTTGCCAAATGCAGGCGGCAATCAACATCCCGCTTTTCCCCGCCGCACCGCACTTTGTGACCCAATTTTCACACAAATTAGTGCAGCTAATTTTTAATGATGATTTTTTCTCTATTTTTTTGTTCTTTGGTTCTGCCACTTTACTAGGCATTTTTCATAATTTCCACTGGCAGTCAGTTGATTTTTCCTTTTTTTGGCTGCTCGAAAATATTTTATTTTAGGCTATTTATGATGTGGCCTCGTCTCTTCGGAAAACACTTTTTTGGGCGTTGGGTGAGCCGACAAATGCAATTGAAATAAACATGAAAAAAGCTGGAGGATTCTCGTCTATTTTCCGAGAGTTTCTCTGGGGGGTTGGGAGTAGGAGAGGAGGAGATTACCTTCCCAGAGGAATCTCTCTTTTACTTTTTTGGTGGAAGTGGCATGCTTTTTCACAGGTTCCCTTGCGCCATGCGTTTTAACTCATTTGCACCTAATTGTCATGCAAACGGGGCCAAGAAGCAGAGGGAAACCAAGAAAAATTGTGGAAAAGTGGAAACAAAAAAAAGCAAACTGAAAAAGAAAAGTAGGGGGAATTCTTTTCAAACCAATTTAAAATTGTACAGCTTTTTATACCCTTAAAAGGGTATTAATACTTCAGTCAGAGGTTGAAACGATGTGAAGGAGTTTAAGGCCAATTTTTGATTCGATATCAGAATACAATTTCAAATTGCAAGGGTATAAAATCATCGGCTTCTCGAATTTTGGTTCCTTTGTCGTTATCCTTCGTTATGCACATCTGTGGTTACTGTCTTAGGTCCTTTGTGTATCAAACGCCCCGAAAAAATACGACCGCTGGAAAATCCTCCTATTTAACCATCCCCAAACTCCCCAAGTTGTTGACTTAATCTGCATTTTGTTAGCATTGCATGCTTTTCACATTTTCATTCAGTTGGTCAGCAAAAAAGCATTGCAATAGAAACAAAGTAAAATGGGGAACGTTGAAAAATTTGCATGGCTCAACTCCTGGCTAAGGTTTTTTTGCCTCAGGGAAGGGAAAAAATTGTAAAAGATAAAATAAGTAGAGCGAAATGCAATGGTAAAAATATTTAAATAATATAAATTCTTGAAATATTCTTTGCAGTTTGTGGACTAGGTTTGCATCAAGATATTTATTTAGTTTATTATTACTCGGAAGTTGTAAAGATATGTATGTTTTATGAAGAGGTAAAATAAGTGTAATTAGGAGTTGACGTTTTAGTTATCTCATAAAGAATATTAATATTTATTTAATTACCCAACTTTTAAAGTTATTTCCTTGAGAAAAATTTAAATTTATATACAACAGCCCCCATTTAGTGAAAACTCGTTTAGATCGTCCATCATCTTTTCAGTGCAAAAGTTTTGTCATCCCCCACTGTGTCCTTTATCAGCCTTTCTCCATTGTGTGAGGCATCCTTTTGTAGCCCTGCTAATTCTTTGTCACCTTAAACACAACAAAGGACACCCCTTATCCTGGGTTTGTCCCCCTTTTGGCCTGCATTCTGCCCTTTGTTAAATAGTCGGCTTGTTTTTGCGACGCCTCATTTCTCCCGTTTAACCCGCTTTTTCCCCTTTTTCCTACGACATTTTGTTGTGCCCAGCTGTCCAGCTTTTCAGCAGCTAAACAATTTTCCACCTCCCCTTTATATATATATACGCATTTTCCCATCGTTCTTGTTCCTTTCTGGCGTGCCATGGCATTATTTTCCATGCGTTAGTTTTCGCACAGGTTTTTGCCCCTGCAGCGTCTTCATTCTCATTTTGCAGTCCAAAATATATTTTTGTTCTTATTTTACAAAAGCTCTTTTTGTTATTTTTTTTAGTATCTATGGTTCTTCACCCAATTTTTTTGTGTTAGCATTGTAAATTGCATTTGTTTTTGTTCGTCGTACTTTTCTGCTATTTTTTGTGTCTCCCTTGCTGCCTGCATATTTTGCTATTTATTTCACTAGATTTTGCTACTCTTTCACTCTTATAAAATTGAAACTTACATTGTAATATATTTTATATGCATGCTATCATTTTAAGTAGGATAAAACAGGCAATACTAGGCATCACCTAAATTATTCCTGCTAGGTACAGTATTTGGATAAGGTAAATTTTAAAAAATTCTCTAGTATTCTTATTTATAAAGAATTTGTAATTTTATAAATATTTTTTCGACAGTGCCAAGTATCTTTTTTCTATTTTATTTCAGTTGTATATCGTTATTTGCATTTTGTCATTGCCGTTTTACTTTTTTCCTTTCTATTCCACTCTCCGTTTTTTTACCCTCTTGAGTCCCTTGTGTAGCTTTAAGCGTTTTTATTACCCGCAATTTGCGCATTTTCACTTTTAGTTTTAATTAACTAAAAATTTGTGCGACAGCCACGCCCACCGACCCCTTGGTTTTCCCCACCACAAAAATTCGCCCGAGGCCTTAGCAACTTACACACGCCCCTCTGCTTTTCAGCACGTTCATCTGGCTCCGCTTTTCCTTATTTTCCTTTCTGATTTTCCATTTTTCTTATTTTGTGCTTGGCACGAGGAGAATACAATTTTTTCGCTTTTTATTTCTTTTCTATTTTATTTGGCGTCCTCGTTTTTTTTCCTACTACT